CAAGGGACGGTCCAGAGAACATAATCAGGAAGTGGCAAGTCACCATCTGGTTTTTAGGGTTAAAGAGTGGGTATGATGATTCCTAAGACTGCCATAGAACTCACGGGGGAAACAACACAACATTCACATTAGGGTGATCATCGCTTTGTAGAAATCTCAGGGATAACAAGTGAGCTTCAGAAAGTGGGTCGTCAGATGCCATATTACTAGGTGTTCATTTTCTCTCTGGGCCCCCGAGTTAAGGCTAAGCTGCTGATGTGGTCCTGTGACTGACTGCTTCTGCATTCCACTAATGATTGTGGGTTTCTCCAGAGATGACCCATGACACAGTCAACCCAACAAACTGGAAGAAACTGTAGGCAGTTGAAAGATATTATTGAGTGATTTATGAATGAAAGAATGGGTAGATAGATAGGATGGTGGATGGATGTGTGGGTGGATGGGTGGAGGAGTTGGTAGGTGGGTGGATGAGTGGAAGAATGGAGAGGTGGATGGATTGATGGATGAATGGAGGAGTGAATGGGAGGGTAGATGGAAGGATAGTGAGTAGATGGATGGGTGAATGGATGAGTAGATAGGTGGATGGAGGAGTAGAGGGTACATAGGTAGGTGGCTGATGTTTGGGTGGCTGGATGCATAATTGCTAGATAGATGAGTGGGTGGGTGGGTGGATGAATGGATGGGTGGAAAGATGGGTGGGTGTATGTATGGATAAATGGATAGATGGATGACTGGATGGAGGAGTGGTTGGATGGAGAAGTGGATAGATGAGTGGGTGGGTGGATGAATAAATGGGTAGATGAATGGATAGGTGGATGTATGGTTGGGTGAATGGACGGTTGGATAAATGAATAAGTGGCTAGATGGAGGAGTGGGTGGATGGATAGGTGGATAGATGGATGAGGAGATGGATGGGTGGGTGAATGGATGAAAGAATGGAGGGATGGCTGTGAGACGACAAATTTCTGTGGTTTAAAGCCACCCCCTTGTAACCAAACCCACTCCCATAGAAACTAGCAAAGGGTGAATTACTTATCATAGAGACTGGAACACAGAAAGCAGGTAAGGTAGGTAATCGACATTAAGCATTCCTTACCCTCATCCCTCAACGTGTATTTCAAGAAGTTGCTGGGGAAGGAGGCCAAGTATGGAAAGTCCCACTGGTAATACACGCAGCTGTAGTTGCCGGACTGCTGGATCATCACAGACCAGTACATGATCCCAGGATGGTCTTTTCTTATTTTCATGACTTGTAATGGTGCCTGGAGTCCCGCTTTCAGCAGAGCAACAGCCAAATATTCAGTGCCATTGTATGGAATCAGACACTGGAGGGTCAGTCTGTGGTCCTCAAGGCGTAGGGTATAGGAGAGGGAAGGTTTCGGGAGGGATCCTACAGAGGGCAAAGACAGTGGTGGTCAGGAAGTGGGCCAGGGATTCTCACCCTCTGTACGCCTGGAATTCACTCATCCTTCTTTCCCGTAGCCACACAATGAAGCCCACTCCAAATTCCCCATAAGAGATTTGTCTTTATATTTTGCCCCCGTTTCCCCAGTTTCCTACACTGAAGATGTTGGGTCTGCCATTTTGTTTCCTGGTGATAATTATGAGTTTTACTGGAGCCCTCCAAAAAAAAAAAAACCCCAAAACCCCTCACTGCCATCAAGTCAATGCTGACTCATGGTGACCCTATAGGACAGAGTCAAACTGCTCCTGTGGTTTTCCAAGACTGAAGCTCTTTATGGGCATAGAAAGCCTCATCTTTCTCCTGAGGAGCAAATGGTGGTTTCAAACTGCTGACCTTGAGGATTTCAGCCCAGTGTGGAACCTCTAAGGCACCAGGACTCCCAACTTGAACCCCATAATAACAGAAAAAGTCACAGCTAAAGGAACCCGTCCTACCCTTTGTGTCCATGCAAAGGGTAGACTGCAAAGAATCACCTTTTCCACAGGCTTTAGATGAGGCTCAGGGTGGCCCCTCCTCCTTGTTTACGTAGGACAAAGCCAGACATCCAACCAAAAACCCAACCCACCGAATCCACTTTGATTCACAGGGTTTCTGATTGTCAATCTTCACAGGAGGAGACGGCCTCATCTTTCACCCTGAGAGTGTGGCTGGAGGTTTTAAATCGATGACATGGTGGTTAGCAGTCCAATGCTTACCAGACAGCCTATTTCTTTCTTTCTTTGAATTGTTTTTCATATTTTATAGCTATTTTATTGTTTAGTTTTTACAATCCGATGCATATAAACTGATGATCTCATTATAGTTTTCATTTACATGTCCCTGCATTTTGGAGAGATGGGGCATTTTATTTATGTTTATAAGTTGTTTGAGTTTCTATTATTTTCCCCCTTCCAAAACCATTAGTATGAAAAACGTTTCTTAATTTTTTTTTCACTATTGGTGGCCCCATACTTCTCCTTTTGTGGTAGACTTTTGTGTCCTCTCAATCCATCCACGGCATGAGCTTCTTTGTAGTTTCATCCTTGTTCTTTAATGATGTGTAGCTTCCCATCATAAGAGCTCTGGTGGAGGTGTATTGGTTACGTGCTGGGCTGCATCAGCAGTTCAAAACCACCAGCTGCTCTGAGGGAGAAAGATGAGCCTTTCTACTGCCGTTGAGGCAGTTAGTTTATTGTGCCAACCTGGCCGATAAACACGTGGGGGTAATTGAAGGGTGGAGAGCTAAATGACTCTGAGCCTCCTCTTGCTAGTTCTCCAGTCTCTTGCTTTGTGATGGTCGCACCAGGGTGCCGCTGCCTTAGTCAGTTCCCTGCTTCAGCTTGCAAGGCTCACTTCCTGCAAGACATCTCTGAGGAGAAGCCACATGGACTTCCCCCCATGCAGCCCTGGGTGCTGGAGCAGCCGTGTGGAGACCCCTGCCAGCGCTGAGATCCTTACACATTCACTGACTCAGCTTGCCTCCTGCAGTTGGCATCATTACATGTGTATTGTGAGATGAAGGAGGACCTTGTGGATTGGTGTCGGACCTATGGGCTAATGTTGGACTTGTGGGCTTGGGAAGCACTGGGTTGGGATGTTTTCTTGATGTGCACTTAACCTTTATATAAAACTCTCTCTTATACGTGATTTTCTGGATTTGTTTCTCTAAAATACCCAGACGGACACACCCATAAAGAGTTGCAGTCTCAGAAACCAGAGAGGCAGTTCTACCCTGTCCTTGAGGGTTGCTATGAGTGGACTCGATGACCGTGAGTTTAATTTTGAACTCTTCATGGTGTGTATGTTCCAAGGTTTATGCATCCTCTCACCGATAGACATTTAAGTTAAAAAATGTTTGTTTGTTTTTCCCTAACCCTTTAAGACCCTTGCTGATCTTATTACGGTCTGAGTGGTGTCCCTTTTACAATTGTGGTAATTACATATCTGTTGTCAACTTGAGACTTAAGAGTGAAGGGGTGGAGTTCAGCCTGTCAATCAGGTCAGAGCATGATGACCACATTTGGAGGTGCGAAGGAGGTAAATAGCTCACTGGAGGCGGGACACTGACTTGCTCCCTGCAAGACATTCCTGTTGACAAGCCACATGGAGCTAGGCTAGGGCCCTGGGGCTGGAGGAGCCATGTGAAGACCCACGCCAGCACTGAGATGCTTCCACTGCCACTGGATCCACAAGACTTTCCACCCACTGGCCTGTGATCTCCCTGCATTCAGCATCATTGCATGTGTTTCATAAGTCTGATGAGGACTTTATAGACTGGGTATCGGACATATGGGCTAACATTGGACTGATGGAATTGGACTGGGCTGAGATGTTTTCTCAATAGTCCATTGCTCTTTATATAAAGCCCTTTCTTATACACGTAGGAGTGTCTACGAATTTGTTTCTCTGGTCAACCCAGACTAACGCAACAATGGACTCAACATTTTTTTTAAAAATGTACTCCCATCGACTGGACTCCAACCCATAGAGACCCTACAGGACCGGGTAGAACTGCCCCCATGGGTTTCTGAGACTGTAACTCTTTATGGGAACAGAAAGGCCCATCTTTCTCCCTTGGAGCAGCTGGTGGTTTCAAACTGCTGACCTGGTGGTTGGCAACCCAATTTGTAACCACCATGCCACCAAAGCCCATTACAATGGACCCTCCCTCCAGATATATAAATATATTTTCCCCTGACAATGCAGACATTCCCTCACAGTGTTGCACCTGTTTCCATGACCCTTTTATTGTAATAAATGTTTCCCCTCCATCCTTCTGCATGAAGTTTCACCCCATCCAAGTTGTTTGGTTTTTCACTGCACACTAGATTCCTCCCTCCTCCCCAGCCAGGTGTGCATCACGGGGCCAGAAAGCATCCATGCCAAAGAGCTCCCCTCTCACCTGTGACCACCAGATGAACATGTTCCCTCTTGGACCATCCCTGGGAGTCTGCTGTCTTGTAGGCACAAAAGTACTGGCCAGCGTCCTCCGGCTGCAGGTCCGTGAGCAGGAGTTCTGCATCTTTTCCCACCGGGCTCAGCCGCTGCTCCAGCTCAGTGCTGTTCAGCTTCCCCAGACAGAAGGTCGAGTTCCGGAATGGAGACCTGCACGTCAGAGTCACGTTGCTTCTGCTTTCAGCCACCGAGCTGGGCCAGGCCCTGAGGAGGGGCTTGGGGAGGGTCACTGGAAAGAATGCAGAGTCCGTGTCTGCCCACAGACAAAGGGTCAAACCAACCAGGGGAGATTCAAAGCTCCAACACAAACTCACTACCATGAAGTCCATCCCAACTCACGGCCGCCCTACAGAGCAGGCTCGCGCCCCCACCGGTCTCCGAGGAGACTGTATTCTTCACAGGAGCAGGAAGTCTCGTCTTTCTCCTGCAGCGTGGCTGGTGGGTTCCAACCGCTGACCCTGTGGTTAGCAGCCAGACCCGTGACTCACCGCCCACCCAAAACTCACTGTTGCCAAGTCCATTCCAACTCACAGAGACCCCACAGCACGTAGAACTGCCCCGGGGGGTTTCTGAGGCTGTGACTCTGACAGCCTCATCTTGCTCCAGAGGAGCAGCTGGTGGTTTTGAACGGCTGACGTTGTGGTTAGCAAGCCAGCACGTCGCCCAGCATTGCGCCAGGGCGCTCCTTACAAGTCAGAGCAAGAGAGAGACAGAGAAAAACAGAGAGCAAAACACAGCTCTCGCTCTCTCTCATATATATATTCAATCAGTTTGTTTTCTGTTGCGATTGAGAATCTATACAGCAGAACATACACACGTTCTACAGTTGCTACAATTCAGGGACATGGAATTCTGAAGGAATTCTTGTGGTGTAGTGGGTTACACGTTGGGCCACTAACCACAAGGTTGGTGGTTCAAATCCACCAGCCACTCCACAGGAGAGTGAAGGCTGCCTGCCCCTGTAAAGATTTACAGCCTCAGAAACCCATGGGGGTAGTTCTACTCTGCCTAAGGGTCCCTATGAGGCAGAATTGACTTGACGGCAGTGAATTTTTGTTGGTAAAGTGAGTTAAGAGGTAGGTTGCTAACCACAGGGTCAGCAGTTCGAACCCACTAGCCACTATGAGGGAGAAAGATGAGGCTTGCTGCCCCATACAGAGTTACAGCCTCAGAATCTCACAGAAGCAGTTCTACCCTGCCCTGTAGGGTCACCATGAGTCGGCATCCACTTGAAGGCAGTGGGTTTGGCTATGTTCTGTGAGTTGTGCACCCACCCTCACCTCCTTCTATCTTTCCTTCTTCATGTGCATCAACTCACTGCCCCCTCCAAGTTCCCATCTAACCTTTCAAGTTGTCGTCAGTTGGACCCCGTGCAGATTGTACTTTGAAGGAGGGCAGTGCTCAAGGGAAACAGTCTTAAAGCAAAACAACTCCTTATTGTGAATTAGGGGAAGGTTTACAGGGTAGACCCTCAATCAACCATTCATACCCATTTTGTTTCATCTCATCCTTGGCCCTTCCCTTAGTGATCCCTTATGCTGTAGTGCCATCACGCATTCCACTTCCTCCCTAAAGTTTCTGTTTCCATCCTTCCTCCTTCTCCAAGTGGTTGATGGTTCTACCACAGGAGTGAGTTCTGTCGGAGGCCTGAAGAGTGGCTACGGGCCATAGTGAAGGGTCCCACCTGGCTCTATCCGACCAGCAAGCCTGGTCTCTTTTATCATCTTGAGTCTCGTTCCACATGTTCTCCCACTCTATCCTGGACTCTTGTGGCAGTTACATAATCTCCTGTCAACTTGAGTAAGGAGGTGGAGTCAAGCCTGTCAATCAGGTCACAGCCAATGAGGCCTCTGTGTGGGCATGGCCTTCTGCTGAGGATTCTGGGAACTCCTGTCTTCCTCCCATGAAGCAGGACACACTCCCTGCGAGACATTCCTGTTGACAAGCCACATGGAGCTACATTGATGGAGCCAGGACCCTGGAGCTGGAGGAGCCACGTGGAGACCCCTGCCAGCGCTAAGATGCTTACAATGCCACTGGATCCACAAAACTTTCCACCCACTGGCCTGTGACCATCCCGCATTCGGCAACATTGCATGTGTTGCATGAGTCTGAAGAGGAATTTATAGACTGGCATTGGACATATGGGTTAATATTGTTATGGACTTGATCTGAACGGGGCTGGGATGTTTTCTTAATATACAATTACTCTTTACATAAAGCTCTTTTCTTATACACATAGGAGTGTCTATGAATTTGTTTCTCTAGTCAACTGGGACTAACACAACCTTCTAATGAGGTCCTTTTCAGGGTGGTTGGTGGAGGCAGCTGGGCACCATCTAGTTCTTCTGATCTCAGGGTTGTGGAGACTGATGTTGGTATGGTCCTTCAGTCCACTGGACTAATTCTTTCCCTATGTCTTTTGATTTTCACTGTGTTTCTTTCCTGTGGATGAGGAGAGACCAATGGTTGTACTGTGGGTGGATGCTTCAAGGGAAACAGTCTTTACTCTTTAAGCTAAACTATTCTTAGGTTTAAAGACAGCTTCGGGATGTGTTTGGTTTACAACGTAGAGCTTAACTCAGGGCAATAGTTGCAGGGGTTCCTCCAGCTTCTGACTGGAGTCCATGAGAAGTTTAACTTCTGTTCTGCATCCCCATCCCCTAGCCCTTTGACCATGATTCTTCTTCTAGAATATTTGATCAAAATGGTTCAAGAATGGTAGTTGGGCACCACCTAGTGCTTCTGGTCTCGTGGCAAAGGAGGCAGCTGTTGATGGAGGCCATTAGCCACACATTCCGTCTCCTGCTCCCCTGACTCTCCTTCTTCTGCTGCTGCTTTAACCACAGTCTCATTGTGCAGAGAAGACACATACAGATGCCTAAACATGTCAAGAGATCTCTTCAACAAAATGTGTTCGATGTCTGGAATTAAAACTTCAGAATTAAAACAAATCAGAACATGTATGCCGGCAGAAACGTTTCTGTGGATGACAATGAAGCCAGAGGAGATAGGAATTTCGAGTGGTGAGGGATGGCTAGCTCAAGGTAGAAGCCTCTAAGCTTCTTTAACTCTTTCTAAGACTTGCCTTTTGTCACTCCAGCACGTCTGGAAGATGCGATGCAAGCATAACAATTTCTACAGTGGAATATTGGGTTATTATGAGTTAGATTTAACTCAACAGCTATGAGTTTTGCATTGGGTCTTTGTGTTTAGTCCAGCTAGACTAGAGAAACAAATCCAGAGACACACCTATGTGTATAAGAAAGAGATTTATCTACAAGAGCAATTGAGCATTGAGAAAACATCCCAACCCAGTCCAGTCCAAGGCCATAAGTCTGATATTAGCCCATATGTCCAATACCAGTCTATAAAGTCCTCTTCAGACTCACAAAATACATGCAATGATGCTGAATGCAGGAAGATCACAAGCCAATGGGTGGGAAATCTTGTGGATCCAGTGGTGTTGTAAGCATCTAAGTGCTGGCAGGGGTCTCCATGTGGCTTTTCCAGCTCCAGGGCTCTAGCATAGTTCCATGTGTCTTGTCAGCTGCTATGTCTCTCAGGGAGTGAGCAGAGAGACAGAGAGTGTGCTAGGTGGATTGTGCCAACCTGGCCAATAAACACATGTGGGATTAGTAAGGTTGCAGTTTAATGGAAGGGCAAAGAGCATCTCCCACCTCCAAGGAGGAATATAGGAGTTTCCAGAATCTTCAGAAGACCATGCCCACACAGAAACCTCGTTGGCTATATCCTGATTGGCAGTCGACACTCCACCCATACACTCTTAATCCGCAAATTCACACCAGATTATGTAACTATCAGTCTTTATATAAGAAATACGTTTTTCTGAGCACTCCAATTGAGTGTACTATACTTGGGAAAACTGCCTTCGACCTATTGATTAAGAGTAATATTAAAACCGAAATTGTGCTCTTTTCTCCTCTTGTGGGAAAGGGGAACGCTTGCCTCATTAAAGATTCAGGTAGTGACGGGCATTGCCTTAGAGCAGGCTCACTGGTTCTGAAGACTCTGATTGAGCCAGAATGCAAACGACAGTCTCCCCCAAAGGACTTGAGTTTGGGCCAAGAATGATGATCAAGACAGCAGAATATACAGATTAGCAGGCGTCATCCCTCAAAATCTGCATCTTGCTAACCGTTGAGACTGAGCAGAGGAAGGGGACGCCTGCCAGGACTGCAGCGAAAAGGGCTTCACTGGAAGCCTCGGTGCATCCTCCACAAGCTGCGTCCCTGTTCAGGGTACTGAATCTCCCAGCCTCGTCGGAAAAATGAGAACATTTCCTCACAGAATTCTGATCATTTTAACCAAGGTAACACATGCATGGTGTCTATCACATCTGGCACAAAACCTGATACAGTGAACCCTCGCCACTTCGCGCTTCGACTTCCGTGGCTTCACTCTATCGCCGTTTTTGCGTAACAGCGCATGCTCTGTCATTACTGCCACTGATTGGCTCATACTGTACACGCTTGATGCCATAAATAATATAATAAATAAGAAATGATAATTGTAACGTCCAAAATGTTTTACTGTATTTTCCCTTTTTCATTTAATAAATTGGGTAATACGAGTGTAATGGTGACTAAAGGGTGTTTTTTCATGTCCTCTATGCTCTAACTACGAAAATATTTGATTTACAAATAAGGAATCCTACTTCGCGGAATTTCATTTATCACGGTAGGGTCTAGAACCGATTAACCGCGATAAACGAGGGTTCACTGTATTTAATAAAGTTAACTACCCTAATTATAAAAAAAAGAGAGAGAGAAAGAAATACGTTTTCCAAGCAGCCATCTAGCTCAGAAGCAACAAAGCCCACATGGAAGAAGCACACCAGCCTGTGTGACCATGAGCTGTTGAATGGATCAGGTATCAAGCATCAAAGAACAAAAAATCATATCATTGTAAAGGTGGGTGATCGCACAGTAGAGACTCAAAGCCCATTGGTAGGCAACCAGACACCCCCTTACTGAAGGGTTGTGAGGAGGAGATGAGCCAGTCAAGGTGCAGGGTAGCAACGATGAAACATATAACTTTCCTCTACTTCTTAAATGCTTCCTCCCCCAACTATCATGATCCCAATTCTACCTTACAAATCTGGCTAGACCAGAAGATGTACATTGGTACAGATAGCAACGGGAAACACAGGGAGTCCAGGAAGGATGACTCCTTCAGGACCTGTCGAGAGAGTGGCAATGCCTGGAGGGTGGAGGGAATGTGGGATGGAAA